AGATTTTGTTTTAACCATTTCGAATTTTGAAGACTGGTATGTAGTATTACAAATGAAAGTCATGACACTAAAGCCAAGGCCAATATTTACATTATATTCCTACAGAAGGCCATATACAGTAGAGGCTTCAACCTGATATTGAGCTAATCACATTCTATGGTACTTTTTGCACTTCATAAACGCTACTATTCAAATCGTCTAACAGGGACCTCGCTGAATGTTTCCATGTGATATATCAATTTACATGTTATCAGGCTGCAGGTTCATTTTCATAAGGTCACACCACACACTCACTACTGACTTACATCTAGGTGTAAAGTCTGTATCTCTTCACACACACACTGAGGGACGTCTTCTGCTTTCTCTCTGTACTCTGTCTTCTTTTCATTACAGTACAAACTTGAATCGCTTGCAACAAGTCCTCACAATGTGCAGCTTCAAATGCGGATTTATTTTCTTCAACATGGTCTTTATGGTAAGTCATTTTGGTAATTCTGTCTATAATTGAAAGTGTTGATTACAGCAATGATAGATAACAAAGAATGGATCAATATACAATTTTATATTTGTATCCGTAGTAAAAGTGTTAGTGACAGTAAAATTGAATAAAACTTTATTCTAAACTGCTTTACAGAATGTTTTGTATTAATAAGAGTGATTTGTACTTTGGATTAATCCAACTATGTTAACAATGTCCTATACCCAGTGGCGTTTTTATATGTACAAAAGTGGTGGGGCACAAAAAACTTAGATGTCTATATATAAGCTTCTGCAGTGACGTGCAGTGAGGTTCATGGCTGGTGAGGCACTGGCACTGACTCTTCAGGTTTACAAATATTATATTTTGACCTAAACCAAAATATAATATTATTTTCAAAAGCTTTTTTTGTCTGATGCTTCGATTAATTTTAAACAGACAGTTCAACAAAAGGATACCCAAAAAATGTAATTTTATCATTTAAATATTGAATTGTTCTCTCTTAGTAAGATCCCATTTTCAATAAAATTGCGGTCTTACCTTGACTTGAAGATGAAGTCCATTTGCCTATCCTTCTGGACAAAAATTTCTATAACTTTTTTGTAAAAGTCCTCCTTATCTTCTTGTAGTTTCAAAAGTCTATCATAAATCTAATCCATAGATTTATGATAAAAAAATTATAAAAGTAGGGTAGACATGTGGATATTATCCGGCTAATCAAAACGTGCATTTATCTAACAGGTACGTTTCCCACAGATCTTATTTCAAGCTATTTTCTAAAATCCTCTGGAGAAATCTCATTGCTTTTTTGTGCTTACTTCCTGGTTTTAGGACGCGCCACTGCAGCTCTCTCGTCTCCTCTTCACACACCACACTTTTCGCGGCACACATACTTACAGCCAATCAGCTCTGAATGATTTGAGATGACGTATGGTGGGGATGGTAGCTCCGTGCCCCTCTGGTCATTATTTTTTTTGCCACACACATTACATTACAAAATACTCTGAGCATGCGCAGTGTAGTTTTTACAGTCACGTTCACTTCACAGCGAGAGGAAGGGGCATAATCAGGTTTTGTCCCACATGGCTCTAAACAGCTCAATAGGCACACACTGTGACTGTAGACACACTAATTAGAAGAACACAGACTAAAACAGCAATGTACAGACGAATCAGATGATTAAACATGATCTTAAAATATATTTTATATTTTTTTTTTTTTTTTTTTTTTGCATTTTTGTAATCATTATTTGTAATACTTTCTGCTGACACTAGGTGGGGCTGTGCCCCACCTGCCCCTAATGACCAGTCGCCACTGCCTATACCATAATCTTTCAGACAGAGTTAGACAAGATCTTCCTCTTTACAATGATTTAGTTTCACACTACAGTATGTTGGCAGTACTTTAAATCAACAGCAGAACAGGGTTCATTGGGTTTTATTTGACTATTTAAAGCCCACTGCTCTAATGTCCTTTTGTTGCATTTGTTTTTCAGGCATCTGGGGTTGCTCTCCTCACTATCGGAGTACTGCACAAATCCACTTTCCAAGAGTTGGAAGAATTTGCAGGGAAAACTCTGGCCAAAATTGCTATAGTCCTCATAGCAGTGGGTGCCATCATTACAGTGGTCTCCATCTTGGGCTGTCTCGGAGCATTCTTTAATAGTTATAATTTGATGGTAACTGTGAGTAACACAACACTACATAATGTAAATGTCTCCTCATACATTTTATTAAAAAACTGTGCCTGTGGGACAAATAGGGCAAGGCTGATCAATATATATATATATATATAAGACTGAACTCTAACTCTGCTCACTCTGTTTCTCTTATGAACTAGTTCATCTGTTGCCTGATCATCATTATCCTAATGGAGATAATCACTGGGGCTGTTGTTTACACATTCTACAACAAGATGGTCTCTGCCCTAGCGAACATAACAGGTTCAGTAAACTACATGGACAAAATCAAAAGGGTGATCAGTGAGTACAGCCCGGAGAAGAGAGCTGCCATCGACAGAATTCAGGAAAAGGTAACGCACAGAGATATTTGCTTTGTATTTGCAAAAGGCCTAATCAACCCAAAACATATTGTAAGCTCTTATTAAGCCATCTGTTTTCTCAGCTCTCTTTGTCAACTGCGTATGTAATAGATACCAATAAGACATTAGGTTGTTTTAATTGACTTTGCATTGTGAAAGTGAATGTATTAAATGTAATGCCAGATGTTAACTTCACTGTAAAAAGAAAGAGTTTTACAGGCCTACAGTACATTCACATATTCAATTTTGGATGCAATTGTGTACAAATTATAACAATGAGTAACAATAAGAAGCTCAGCTACATAATAAACCTGTCTCCTAAAAAGTATTTCTAAATACAATTTTCGTTTATTGTGCACAGATGACAGTAGTACAGGTATCCCAGCTTTTCTTAGAAGTCCACACAAGAAACTCTTATGTTTTTTTTAAAGAAAGCAAACATGCATGTGTGTCCATCGAACAGGTTTTACACTGCATCATGAACACACAGATCACCAGGTTACCTTGGTGACTTTTTCATGTATGATAAAACCATGTTACAGTTCAAATGCTGTGGAGCAGACGGCCCCGACGACTGGGCCACCAGTGTGGGCTGGGAGGACCACGAAGCTACGCCGGACTCCTGCTGCGTGGAGAAGGGTGCCGGCTGTGGGAAAGAAAAGGACAAAGCTCGCAAAAAGGTCTACTGGGAAATCTTATTTCAAGTGCATAGTCATTTGAATTCATTTTTGTGAACAAATAAGTATTTAATTTATATTTTGTGTGTCCTTTTCAGGGTTGCATTAAGGCCATCAACTTATTTCTGGGGAAAAGACTGCAGGCGGTGGGAGTTATCTGTATATGTCTTGCAATTGCAGAGGTAAACACATTCCTTATAAATAAAAAAATGCAATCAACGTATCTGTAAAAAAATCTAAATAACATGCATTTCGTCGTATGATTTAGTTATTTATTAAATTACATGGGAAAACATATTTAAACAATTTGAATGAGAGAATATTCATAAGTTATGGTAATGCAGACATTTGAAAAGTGATGGCATGAATGATAATGAAGCCTATCTCAACCTGTGCCCAAGGTAGTGAAATCCAGAATTAATTAGAATTTATGGAGAGAGAAAATAACTTTTGCTGACCTGTCTTGAGTTCATTTGCTTCCAGTAACGTATAACATTTGTACCTGTTACAGTGTTTTGGAGTAGTCATCGTTGCTTGCTTCAGTTGCGACATAAAACGGAAAGACTATGATAACATGAGCTGATGTGTCATCGTGGCCAAGCACAGCAGACTTCACACATTGCTGACATATTGGAACTATTCTATTTGCTTTATCCATTCTTTGTATCCTATAATTGGACTTAAAGATGATGCTGTAATTGATATGTTTGAAAACAACTGAATGACTGCTTTTTTTGCACTTGAAACATTTGACTATTTTAACAACATATATCTAGATGGAATGGTTTGGTCTATGCCATCGAAAACACCATTTACTCTATAATAGTCTCATGTTTAATTGTCCTGCTACTAAGAATAAATCTAATAAATGTGTGATACACTCTTGTTGGAGGATTTCATTTCTATGTTTGACAACTGATTTGACATCTTTAAAGTTTTTAACTTTTGACAAATGTTCAATATCCAGATGAACATTTCAACAACAATTCTGTGTCACTGCTTCAGCTCTACGAAGGCCAATACTGAACATTCATTTTTACAGACATATCAAAAGGAATAAAGGAACAGATTATTTAACATAGAGATGTTAAATTTGCTCACCATGATGCTCTTGCGATCTTTTTTGTTATGACTGAAAAGGTAAAATAATCTCACAATTCTCGAAAGAAGAAGGCCTTTTAGAAAAGATATCTTCTGTAATAATATTCTTAAGGTAGCTATTCTTTTAGTACAAATATATAGAAACATAATTAGAAATAATTTAGGAAAAGCAATGTTCTCAATCAAAGGATCTAATCGCTTTGCACTAGGCAGAGGCAATTTAGAAGTACACTACATTTCCCAGAAACCCACAACAGGAAATGCGTCCGCTCTCAAAATCAATCCGTCACCGCTATCAGCTCGAAAAGTAACGTGTGCGCCAGCAGCACGCAGAGAGGAAAAATCTAATTTAACAACAACATTGAAACCACAATCAAAGGTAAATAAATAGTTTTATTGTAATATAATGTATTCCCACTACCAGTCTTAATATATGCTATGTAACATACCACACAAGCTAAGCTAACAGACGTTTGGATTTAAGCTAAATTAGCTGTCTGGATGAATATTGTGTTAACATAAAACTGTAAAATAGCCCAACCACGAACTATAGGCTACTGCTTAACTGGATTTACACAGGTTAACATATTTATAATAAAACAAGTTGCTTAGTAAGTATATGAGATGATCGTGATTGAGATAATTGTACAATTATTAGTTACCCTTCTCAATAGTCTCTCTTCTCGACTATATTGCTGAGCAGCATGTCCAAGGCTTTAACCAGGAGAATAAAGGAGCTGGAGGAAGAATGGGGGAAGCTCAGGTCCGAGCTGAAGGAGAGAAGCGAAGCTGGAGAGGATTCAGAGCTGATGTCCAATCCATCCACTCAAGAAAACACTGACTCCAAACCTGATGTTAATACCAGCAGCTGTAAAAAGGGTAAGAAAGTAGCCAAAGACCGTCCTTTCGACTTCTCTGCACACCCTCGGCGACATGTGGCTCTGCGGCTGGCTTACCTGGGATGGTCCTACCAAGGGTTTGCAGTTCAGGATAACACTGACAACACCGTGGAGGCCAGACTCTTTGAAGCTTTGCTGAAGACACGGCTGATCCAGGACAGACAGAGCTCCAACTACCACCGGTGTGGTCGCACTGATAAAGGAGTCAGTGCCTTTTCCCAAGTGAGTTCTCGAAGTACTCATCATCTAAATTGGAATAATGTAACAATATGGTGAGAAAATATGCCATTAATCTGAATGGTGCTCTAGTTCTGTGGCCAAAATATGATGACAACAATATTATAGCTGCATAAACGTAAGAGACATTTTCCCTCTTCTTTGTAGTGCTATCTAGAGTTACTGCTCAAAGTACCAAAGAAATACATTTGAATTAAACAGCAGTGTCTCTAGGAATCATGATTCTGTTTCTCAAGATAATAGTGTTTTTCACTATTATTTTTGGCCCCCTAAGCACCTCAACCCACGTGCCATGACATATAGTGGTACAATATTTGAGAGAAGGCTGACATATCATTGTCTGATATACTCATAAACACACATTAAAATATTCTAGCTTTATTAATAGCACTACAGGTAAGGTAGGAAAAGGTTTAATATTAGATTTAGACTTCAACTGTTTTTTTCCTCCACAGGTCATAACAATCGATTTGCGCTCCACACAGTTTTGTGGAGGACTGGGCATCTCAGTTCCTGAACATGTTGATGTTGGCATCAAGAACAAAGCTACTGGCAGTGAGGTTCCCTATGTGAAGATGCTGAACAGAGTCCTGCCTCAGGACATTAGGATCTTGGACTGGTCTCCAGCTGCAGAGGGCTTCAGCGCTCGCTTTGACTGTAAGTCTCGCACGTACCGGTACTACTTCCCCCGCGGATCCTTGGATGTGACACTGATGGCAGAGGCTGCAAAAAGGTGGGTGAAGACACAAAATGATGAATGCTGATGTTACCCCTCAATGTCACAGTTCTGATTTGATGGTTTGTTGATCTGTCCCCCGACAGATACGAGGGAACTCATGACTTTCGCAACCTTTGCAAAATGGACGTGGGAAATGGAATCCTTCAATTTGAGCGGACTATCTTGTCTGCATCAGTAAAGCCTGTGCAGCCTCAGGACATCTCCAGCACTGGCCCATATGATGTATTCATATTTGAAATAAAAGGATTGGCCTTCCTGTACCATCAGGTATGAAGACACACTGATCAGTGATTTTGTTTCCTTAAAATGTTTAATTTCAAGCCGTCATATTGATATATATATTGATGATTTGTGACATTTGCAGTCTGGGTGAACTCCATGTTGTGTTTCATGCAGGTACGATGCATGATGGCACTCCTTCTCCTGATAGGGCAGAAACTGGAAGACCCGGAGCTAATTGATAAGCTCATGGATGTTCAGAGTAACCCCAGGAAGCCACAATACAGGTGTGTACAAATCCATAATAAAAAACAATATGGTAAAACTACATTTGCATCTGTGTGAATGTTTATTTTGTCATTTGCCTCTAGTATGGCAGTAGACTACCCGCTGGTGCTGCACGACTGCCACTTTCAAGGTCTGGCCTGGGAACAGGACATTGAAGAGGTGAGCCACGTCCTGTCTGAGCTTCAGCAGCACTGGACCCAGAGCACAGTCCGGAGCCAAGTCCTGCACGGGATGATCCAGGGTTTGGAGGCCGCAGGTGAGATGTTCAAAGAGATGAACACACCTCAACATTTTTATTATGTCAAAATACACCTCTGCAGGGCCAGACTGGGATAATAATTTAGGAATCGAATGTCACTCCAGGCCAATATTCACACATTAACAATAGACGTTTACATACAGAAAAACATATACTGTTACTCTTTTGTTGAAATATTTGTCTGTGTACCAATAACATATTTTAGTTTTATTATTTAAGATAAGTTAAACCTTTATTGATCCCTGTAGGGAAAATTGTATGTCACAGCAGCAACAGTAATAAGTATGATACACAGGATAAAAAAGGTAAAACTTACCACAAAGGTAATACAAATTACAAATAAAAGTGTAGTAAAAAAGGAAATGCTTGATTCAATAAGTTAATTGGCAGGAGTATAAAAAGGATATTAGACTCCACAGTGAGAATAATTATTAACACTTTGAACTGCACTAAACGGTACAAAAGGTGCTTTACAAATAAAGTTTGCTTGATAGAATACTTTGCTTAGACACAGTATAGTGTATATACACATTCAAATATTTGTTTAAATTGTTTCACTCGTCTCTATTTACAGGTGGAGTGTCCTCCAATGCCTGCTGTCTAGTAGAAGGCAGCAAGCAGAGAAACTACCGGCCCCTGCTCGAGCGTCCGTGCTGCGAGAGCCTGGAGTCCAGGATAAACCATTTTGTCAAAAGAGGCAGGCTGGAGCGGGAGGAAGGGGAGAATGGAGGTGAAACGGTGCACAGAGGGAAAAAGTCCAAACATTCCCACAGTTCCCCTAGTCTGCCTGTTTCATCAGAGATGTCATCACCAAAACAAAGTACAGATGAAAAAGCAGAAGATTAATATATTCTCACAGGAGAATCAATTTGCCAATATATAATTTGTAATTGTTGTTTCTGCAAGCATTGTATATACATTTTAATTCGAAAACAAAATGTGTTTTTTTTTTCCTTTTTCATTTCTTAAAAACTGTGTTATTACATTTTCATTCATGCAAATCTTTTGCTTTGAAATAAACACGTTTTGGAGAAATTGGTTATCGCTGATATTTGTTTTCAAATGTGTTATTGAACGCAGTGCTCCGACCTCAAGTTGTAAATGTGAATTTGCAATTAACTACGCGGAACCAACGTACGTCGGTAAAGTCGGAAGACTTTCGAGGTGGCGCTTGTCAAGCTAAGAAGCTAGGTCGTTAGCAATCAGCTGAGTGCAAGTCAGAGTTACAGACAGCAATATCTAGCGACACAACTGTGCTCGCCATTGTTTTCTGACTGCATATCTGAAAGGGCGGAGTGGAGATGGCTGCTGGTTTGTGGTATTGCAGATTTGTAGTCGCTCTCACCTGATAAAGACTTGTGCTAACGTTAGCTTGTTAGCAATCCTGGTTGTTTACTACACTCTGCAGGACATCCCAAAGTACATTCAGCCGAATTAAGGAGAAGCACACGTTTACAAGGTGAATATACAACAAGGGTTTGGTGGTTAACTAACAACATAACTTTAATAACTGTGTTAACCGGTCATTCTCTCAAATAAATTGGTTGCATAATAAAGGAGCTGTAGAGTCTGGTCTGGGTTTATTTTGGTGTTGAGTCAAGAATAACTTTAAAGCTGTCTGTCTAACTTTAGTTTGCTTGTTATCTAATTTGTGCACAAACTGAGTGCAGCTCAGCCTCTCCACAGCAGGGGGCGTGTTGTCCTCATAGCAGCATTATAAATAGCAAGTAACACCTGGATATTTCCAGAAATGTATTCGAAACATCTGTATATGTCTCTATCATCTTTCTTAGATTTAGATTGAATTACCCTTTATATTGGCTCTACTGTATGTGGACAAACACATAATATATACACCTTGTCAGCTTTTATTTCCTTTTGTATATTTCCACTTGTAGTGAAAAGTTAATTGTAATGTTTTGTTTTTTTTGCATTGCCCTGATTTACAAAAACTATTTTTTTATTTGGTATGGACTTTACATGAAAGTTAAAATACTAACATGCTGACAGTTATTTGTAAAACTTAACAATACTCGGTTGTTTAAATGGATCAAAAAGAAGAGAAAACCCATCCACAAATATGCCCAATACATTGTGGTATTGGGTTTGAGAACAATGCTGTTCCTCTTTTAGCCATGATTTTATACTTAAAAACAATTGACATTTCCAATCTACAAGTTTTTTTTATGATAAGATTGCTTTTTGTATACATTTGAATCACCTTCTCAGAGTCACCATACAGCTACAGTAACCCTTGTATTACTTTAGTGACATTACTCCCTGGTTAAACTGCCTTTGTCTTCCCTCAAGATGTTCCTGGTGGGACTGACGGGAGGTATTTCCTCAGGGAAAAGCGCAGTGTCTACGATGCTGCGGGAGCTCGGGTGTCCCATTATTGATGCTGATGTTGTAGCAAGGAAAGGTAAGTGGAAATCTCTCCTGCAAATATTAAGATTTCAAGTCAAGAGTTAGAATAACTAGTCAACACTGTCATCCAGGATAACTCAAATGAACTCACATGTGGTAATATGGATTCACCCACATCACTGACTCATAACGTTTATTATTATACTGAAATGGACATGAAGTGGTTGAGCCTGTAGGAGGTTCATTAAGACAAACGCTTGGAGAGAGTGCATGAATCATGACGGCGGTCTCTGTTGACTGCAGGGATGATGTAGTAGTTATCTGGTGAAGATAAAAGGTCACAGAACTAGGGGAAATGTCCCAGCTGCATGTAGAAAATAATAGAAGTAAAGATTGAATTGCACTCTGGTGATTGTTATTAAATTGATTACAATATTTTCTAATCCCCCTTTTCCCCTCTGTGTATCTTTTTCTGTGTGTATTTTTTTGTGTGTACTACTTTTCTTAGTTAGTGTAAAACGGTATATGTTCTTATTCTTATGTTCTTATTTTTGACACTGTTAAAGGTCACCTATCATGCAACTTTTTCATGTCTTTTATACATAAACATGTGTCCCCTCTGTGTAAAGAGATTCTGAAAGTTTCAGGAAAAAAGATTTGCTCACTTTTTGTCTTGATCCATTTATATATGATGTCATAACGATTTCTTGGCTTGTGTAACCATTAGCCAATAACCAACCAAGGTAACACCCCCCACCTTATCACCAGAATCTCCTCCTAGAGCACCATTGTGTTCTTTTTAACCAAATATCTCTCAGAGGGGCGTGGGGAGTGGCTCCTTATTTTCATCTAATGTAAAAGACAGAGAATCAGCACTTTTGAAACAGGGCTGAAACAGAGGGGATTATGGGATGCTACAATTATCTGTTTGGTATTTGGAGCCAAACACTTCAGAGACATGTTTGTATATATCTGAGACCTATAATGTATTGATGAAAAACAGTATAATAGGGGACCTTTAATTAAGATTTTCTTTTCTTGATACAAGTTGTGGAGCAGCACACTCCGGCCTATTCCCGCATCGTTTACCACTTTGGACCGGAGATCCTCCTCGAGAATGGCGAGATCGACCGGCAGAAGCTCGGTCAGCTCATCTTCGCCGACGAGGAGAAGAGGAAGCTGCTGAACTCCATCACCCACCCGGAGATCCATAAAGCAATGCTCAAAGAGATCCTGTTGTACTTTCTCAGAGGTGAGGCTGAGTGTGTCTGAGTTACAATCTACTGAAAGGGAGCTATGGCTGTTTTGATGTGGAGCGCCGATTGTCACAAAGCTGTATGAATTGCTCACTACACGCCAAATAATGCCAACATTTTAGAATATTACCAATATTCTTTACGAGGTTAAACGTGATGGTGGATCCAGCCACTGTGTATGTTGTTAAAAAGTTAAGAACTTTGCTACTTGTATTTCATAATGTTATAGTGTAAATGTGTTGAGGCACTTTTTAAAAATTATTCCTCTTTTGTTTCCACAGGATACCGCTACGTCGTGCTGGATGTGCCCCTTCTGTTCGAAACAAGACGTCTCACTAAGTTTCTCAACCACACTGTAGTAGTCTACTGGTAAGCCCACTGCTAACTTCCCCATTATTTTAGATGACTCATTATTTACAGGTTTCTCTCATCAAAATCTTAAAATATGTTGATGTTTGTTTTTGACAGAAACTGGCCATTAAGCCCAGTTTTGTGAGTTTTTGGTTACCTCTCTCTTCCCCTCTGTATGACATTTATTAGCATGACTCATTGCCTCTGGATTTTTTTTAACAAGGCACCCTGGCTGCTCCATAAATAACCTCCATTGTCTGTTCCCTCTCAGTGACCCTGCCACTCAGCTGCTGCGCCTGATGCAGAGGGACGGCCTGACACAGGAGCATGCGGAGCAGCGCGTGGCCGCACAGATGCCGCTCAATGAAAAGCGCGGCCTGGCCAATCACGTTGTGGAGAACTCCGGCAGCCGAGAGGACACCCACAGGCAGGTCCTGCGACTGCACACACGGCTGGAGGACTCCATGGACTTCCTCTTAGTGAGGGTCATCGCTATCGCTGCCACTACTAGTCTGGGAGGGATTCTGCTGTATGTAACCAAGATACTTATGTCCTAACAGAGGACAGACGCGGGGAGCAATAAGTGGGGGAGTGAGTAGAAACAGGCGATGGCACACCGGGGGGTCCCGATTCAATTTACTGTGAGATTAGTTTCCCAGCACCCACCACTACAGTTCAGTGGTGTGACATGCTCTGTTTGCTCCTAACACCGACTTACATTATTGACACAACATGCACTGACAAATGTGGTTTAGTGGGAAGGGTTTGAATGTGCAATTTATTTCGGTTTCACTCAGATACATTACAAACATGAAGGTGATACCTTAGAGTTGCTGCCCAATGCAGAAACGTTTATTTTAAATGTTAAGGGCCTCAACAGTGATCCCAGTTTGGGGCCTAAAACTAGCTAGAGTTTTTTTGTATTTGGTGCCGTATGCAACACATAACTAACATCAGCAATATCAGGCAAATGACTCGATCTAGTATATGAGATTTTATTTGATTGCATTTCATACCCTATGATGATATCCAAATAAGACATTTTGGTTGATAGTATACATTATGAACAGCTGCACATTCTTAAAACTGTTTATTTGCAGTTTGAGACCTCGATTTTTAGCACAAATGCCAGCCCAGTCCCCAATGATAAATGTGCGAAATTATTGGATGGACTAAAATACCCAACATGAATGACCTGATATTTACATAATATGTAATATGTTGATGATATGTATAATTAAGATGTGACGGGATGTATTTGACAATCCATTTGTAATGGGAACAGAATTAACAGACTTTATAAATATATACTGTAACACTGTATTTTCTTACACTTGAAGCGGCTCTCTGTAAATACTAAGTCTGTGATTTTATTTTCTGTGCGCACTCACTTGTCACTAAAACACAACATTTGTAGCAGCTGTTTGAATGAATTATAAAAGCGCTACTGTTTTAAAAAATAACAACTGTCAGATGGTCTTTTCATTATTTATTTTGTATCATTTTTTTATTTTAGTGCTAGATGCCATTTGTCCTGAACATATAATACTGTTCAATATTTACTGAATAATTCTGCAATTTGACACTAAGAGATTCATTTCTAATTCCTTTAAGGATGGGGGAGGTTCTTTTTGGCCTCTTAAATCAGATTTTAATACATATTAGTTTGAGGAGGTTTTTATGATATTACAACTAATTTGGAAAAAAACAATAACTTAACACATGTTGAGCCTTTGAATATCCTTTACACAACTGCTGTTGAGTCTCAATGCCCAAATCTTTAAAAAACGTAATTGCAACTAAGGATTTCTGTAAAATGTTAGGTCTTACGCAAAATCCAGGGAAACGCGGATTACGTCACTATGACATCATCAGGGTTATTCTCAGACTGTAGAAGGCTCACCTCAGAGAAACAGGAGACATTATACAACCTTTTTTCACAGAATGAGGACTTTTTAGGAATAAACTGAGAAAAACTGTAACTGAAGAAACTAGAAATTGATTGTTATCATTGTTTCTTTTAAAAAGTGACAAATGTCTGTTGGAATCTCCTGAAGCCAA